TGCATTTTAAACAAAAAATAAGCGGTAGTAAGGTGAGAACGACGCGCTCACAAAATCGCTCCTGTCCCACGCGTGCAAAAATGCCGAAACACGAGATGTCCACAACGCGGTAACCACGAACTCGGGAGGCCCCAAATAACATTACCCCAGCAAGGCAAACAGGCCGTTGTCAAGAAACCATGGCTCCCTTAGCTCAAGTCATCGTCACTGCTTGAATCACATCCAAATTCCACTACGATTCTGAATGGAATTAGAATGCGCGGCGCACTCTGTATATGGACGGTTTCAACGACGCATGCTTTATCCCTTCTCTGACCAGGACTCGTTGTTTCTAGAAACATCGTCGCCATGTGCACACAGGATAAATTTCACAAGTGATAATAACCGCTCAAGGGATTTGCATCGAATATGAGAAGCACAACATTTTTTGCGGCACAGAATGTCACTTTACATTCCTCATGCTTGCAAATTTTCTAAAACATGTTTTCTGAAACCTCACAAAAATAGCCCGAGCTTACCAGATAGGAAGATAACTTTCATAGATTCAAATTCCTCTGATTTGATCGTGATTAGCGTCGAATCATTGTATTCTATCGATTGTCACTAGTTACAACTATCATTTACCAGAAATCAGCTATCACTATGAACAACTTCTAACCAGATTTACTTGGAGGCCGTCGTCAGTTGTGGTGTTTGGTCTGCACCCGACACTTTCTCGCTTTTTGAAGGGGAGGTTAGGTGGCTTCGTAGAGATGGGTAGTAGTGCGCTTTTGTGAGATTGCGCTTGCAGCGATTACTTCCCCTGCGGTAACCCTGACGGGCATTATTTCTAAACCATATGGCTCATGACTCACCTGACAAATAATGCCCTTTTCCTAATCTTCAATGGAAACAAAGACCTTTTCAGCTCAGACTTCAAATGAAACATTTTTGCTGATTCTTGTAAGTGTTCTGGTCATCGCAGTTTTTCAGAGCGATTGAACTCAAAGAAGTTTGCAATTGCCACGTGAACTTTCGAAGCAAGTTGTACATTGGCTAAATCAGTACAAAAAATGCAGCAAAATAAGCTCTGGCGCCAAACTGCCTCAGATGGTCCCTTTTGTCAAAAATGAATGCAACTTTTGAGACCAGGCCACTCATTTTATTTCAATAGGCGAGGTTTCATAGATATTAAAACACTGGTGTGGATGGATTAACTCGCTTTGTGACTTTGCATTTTTTACCAACTTTGATCGCTCATCCTTTGCTTGGGAAGTTCGGCTAGCGTTTTGTTCTCTATATTTGTAAACGCAAACTTTTGATGGTATTGATTTACTAGGTCTCTAGGCACGTTTGAAAGCCTTTCCTGATAAGCAAGGCCAGTGGTTTTTGGTGTACGAACTACCCTCCTAGTTTGGTTTTCTATCGAGGCCTAACATCACAGTCATCATGAAAATCTTTCTTTCTCCTTCTAATTCGTCTAATCTTGGTGACTGAGGACCCTTCTAACGAAGTCATTATACTTATCGATAACGTGTAACGTACACTCTTTATCCTGGGGGGTCGGAAAAAGAAAAAAAAACAACACTGTTGCCAGGTCGAACTTCTGAAGCGATCTTTTCGCCGCAAAGATTGTCGTCGTTAGCAGAGCTTCTTCAACGAAATACCCTCCCCTCAAATATCCCTCTATAACTAGATGCAAACCCTCCTAACTTTCCCTCACCATCTTCGCAATATGACGTCATCTGCCATCGTTGTCAAGCTCAATGAGACCTACTGCGAGTGTTCCAGCCTAAAGCTCTCACATTGTGAGCCGATTTACTGTTTGATAGCTTCTCAGAACTATGAGCTTCGAATATGCAACCTCCCCTCGCTTTTCAAAAAAAGTCGTAATTTACATGGTCCGGGAAGGACCCGTTGAGCTGGACCTTTGCGCCATGTTTTCGAGGCAGAATTTTCTGATACCGTCCAAGTAGGAGGACACTACGAAGTATTTTTCAATGAAAAGGAATGTGCTCTTCAATTCTAAGTTGGGCGCATTCGGTTGGTATCCAGCAAGGTGTGACTAAATCCATGTGAAAGTGGAGGCAAAATGTCTTTAGTTATTAATGCTCCCCCTTCCGGGGCGGAAGTGGTGTAGTGGCAAGTGGCGCGCTTACCACGCGAGCGGTCCGGGATCAAATCCTGGGTCGTGAGTCGCCCGGGCCAACCAAGCCTTCCATCCCTCCGGGGTCGGTTAATTGGTACCAGACTTGTCTGGGAGGATAAAAACACTGACTTGTACATCGGCTGGCCCCCGCAAGTCATTGTATAGGCCACGTATAACTGACGGCACGTTTCAAGTCCTGAAGGACCAGTCTATTCGTATGGGCGATGCTTTTACCAGTTCGATGAATAACTGAGACAAAGACGATTTTACAAATTCGTATCAGCTGTTGTTAAAATGATTTGGCACTCCACCTGATCTCGGACGTATACTTTCGATGTCCACACCGTACATTTCAAGCGCCCTCCGTTAACGAATCTCTGGCTCTTTGTCCAAATTTCTGTTGCAGCCTTATTTTTCGTTTTTCATTTCCTCCTAGTTTTTCATTATCTCAAACCTTT